CTGGTGCTTTCACTTCCTGAGACAGTTGTAAGCACTGTGTAACTGCCTCGAGGGTGCTTGACCATTTTAACACAACGTGGTGCGATCATCCCCCTTGCGCGGAGTGAGGGTTCACCCCGCACAACATGATCTACTCAACCATCATTATGGTTACCGCCCAAAAAAAATAAACGGAGGAAAAAAAAAAAAACGGTAACCTGGTTGCCGAGTTCACGAAGTGAATTGGCTTGTTTTACAACGTCGTTGCCAAGCGACGAAAACCCAATCCCGATGGCAAACACCGGGGGGGGCGGCTTGTTTTACAACGTCGTTGCCAAGCGACGAAAACCCAACCCCGATGGCAAACACCGAGGGGGGGGGGGTGCTCGTTTCTTCTTGTGCCTTGGTTGTAATCTAAACACGACAACAGGACCCATCCATCACCCCCGAGAGACAAGGCGCCTACTTGCAATACATGGGGTGGCACTAGCAAGCGAGTCACAACACAAAATCTGTAAGAGACAGGGCCGATGTGCCTGCCACGTTTGCGGACAATTTGCTGTTAGAGAGGTTCGCGCTTTCCGAAGGTCGCCGGGCTACCATCTAACTTCTGTCGCGCCTCTATAGCGCTCAGCTTAAACAGGGAAATAAGACAAAAATAGCATATAGTGACTGCCTAGGCAACTCCACACGCTCCCATGGAGGATGATAACGGCATGTTTTATTGTGCATCGAGCTCTTCGGCAACGACACTTGGCGCAAACGGTTGTCTCGCAGGACGGGACCGGTCACGTTTATTCGTAAACCGGTCATGTATGCTCTTAAACCAGTCACCTCTGCTCTTAAACAGGTGATGCTTGTTCTGAAACCGGTCACGTTTGCTCTTAGACCGGTGATATCTGTTCTGAAACCGGTGATTTGTTGTTCTTCAACACAAACAATCGCGATAAAAGGCACGTACCTTGCGGCCGACTCCGTCTTGAATCTTGGCCATCGCGGACGTGACGGCGCTAGGCAACTCTCCCGCAGGGTGCTCGTCAAACCAACCGATGTCCTAGGCGGCGGTGAGGAACGTGGCAACCAACGCGGCATGCCGGGGTCGGGGGTATGAATGATATAACTAGAAGGCGGACAAAAAAAAATTCAAGTAGAGGGGTTCACAGCCGCTGCTGCTCGGGACGGACGGAGAGGGTCCGCACGAGCGATGACTTTTCAACCTCGGGTGCGACAAGCCATCTTCCCGCGGACCACGCATCATCATGAAACAGCCGCATTCGAGGCCGCAAGTCTCTTGTTGCAGTAACACGGGCCGCGTGTGCTGCACTCGAATCCCTGCACTTCTTCCTCCTCCTCCTCTCGCCCATTCCCTCCTGCGACATGTCTTTCCCCCAACCCGAAAACTACGGAAGCAAATAAGTTGGACTTGTACGCAACAGCACCCTTCACTCTCTCCTCAAGGTACACATCCCGGCATTGTAGGGATGCGAGGTCTCTTACAGACTACGGCAAGCGTTACACGAGAAGCCCCACACACTCCCAGCACGAGATAGCGTCGTCGCCCGGCTCACCTGCCACAGGATGGCCCGCACGTATTCCTTCTTGAGCTTGAGCGCCACCTCCTCCCCGGCAGTGTTCCAGAACAAAACCTGTCGTGGCACGAGAATCACGAGTCACGAGCGGTTTCAGCCATGTGCACCAGTGGCCAGTGCGAGCAGCAAAAGAGCGTGGTACGCGTGTCAGGAAATGAAAAAAACAAGACACGCTTTGGCTCCGGCCGATAAAAAACACGCTGGAGAAAGAAAGAAGTGCGTGAAATTGCATGTGTTTTTTGCTTCGAAAGAATGACGTGGCAGGAATTCGGCCGTTCTCCGTCATACCCCCTCCCCGGCTCAAGCTTCAAACGTAACCAGAAACGGGTATACCCGGGTACTTTATCACCGNAGAGGAGTGCCACGGCGGCTCCCTCTTCGTCACAGGGGGGGCGTGCGGGCGGATCGGTCATTGTCGGGGGGATGGTGATCAACTTGGCACGCTGAGTGCCGGCCGCCGAATGACGATGTGTGTGTTGCCGTTTTTGTCCGTGTCACGTACTCCGCGATGTTTTCTTTCTTTTCTTTTCGTGCCAACCCTGTCCAGTGAAGAATCGGGGATCGCGGGCCTTGACACTCGTCTACCCAACGACCAAATGGGTGATGACGATAGTGAATAATGGTGGGCAGGGAGGTTTTATTTCTTTTGCGCTTTCGTCTTTCTTTCGCTGTCGTGTTCCCTGCGGTATGTTGGCTAAGTTTGGCATGCATGGCGTACGAAAATGTGCTGACCCTTCCGCTTTGATTGTGCATCATTGATTTGGATTGTGCATCGTTGATTTGGAGCACACACCCTCTGCTGAGTAGGAACGTCCGGGTACACGTTGCTGCTACGCAAGGGAAATAAACGAGCGTGTCGTGTTGATATGTAGATGCTGGAAGAGGCCCCTTAATTTTGGTGTGGCATTCGAGGTCCTTTTGGAGTCCTTTTGAGGGGGGGGTGAGGGGGGCGGGGCGGCCACCGCGTTCCTTTGAGAGAGACGCGTGTTCTCAAGACCATTTCTTGTTTATTTCCGACTTTTTTCTCTCTCTCTCTCATGATTCGCATGTTTTTGGGAAAACCGACGCGCAAGTGTTGAATCGAGACGAAGTAATGACTGCTGTGTTGCCACAACGCCAAAGTCATAGATGTATGACTGAAACCTAATCTGCTAAGGTCATCCATGCATGATGGGTACTTTTCGGAGGATTCCTGAGAGAGGAACACGTGAACGCAGCATGCGTCAAACACCTTGTCTGTGTGGACTCTTTATCTGTACGTTCATTGAGGAAACTAACCATTTTATCTTTAAAGATGACATCTGNGCATGCGTCAAACACCTTGTCTGTATGGACTCTTTATCGGTACGTTCATTGAGGAAACTAACCATTTTATCTTGAAATATGACATCTACCTCGATACTACACCACGGTCATTTACTCAAAGATAACCTCCAGACCACGCAAGGCATTGAGCCTGGGACCCAGTCGAGCGAATTGGACGTTGACCGTTGTTTGTGCACGCCACCGCCGTGTGCTCGATTAACACCCAAACATGCATTACACCTGCATACACGCACGGAAAAACACAACACCTGGCACAGCCAAACAGGTATTATGCATAATGGACGTACTGTGGATCCGTGCTCCCATCTAGCTGCCTGGTAAAACGACTAGACTACAACAAAAGCCCTTGCGGAGCAGCGCGTCACAGCGCAGAGAGGGTGTGTGTGGGTGTTTTTGTCTTGACATTTTGTTGTGTGGTTGGGAAAAAGAGACAACACTGGGAACAAGTTGGTAAGACAATGTGTAGGCATCTATCTGTAGCTATCGACAGCGAGCTGCTAACATGTCGCACATTAGAGACACACTGCTATATATATCTTGCAGGTTCACCTCCACACCACCAGCATTCTCATGAGGAAGGAGGACCCGATCGCCCTCGGTGGCCGTTGGTTATTTTCCTACTACGTATTTTGACTCGTGGGCCCGGGCCCCTCTCCTACAGGGGGTCGAACTCGCTCGATCCGCGAGTTAGCTCGCTGTGGTGCTCGTACATTGGGTAAGGACAGAGAAACAAAACGGGCACGACCTGCCTCATGCTTGCGAGGCACAGCAGCAGCGCAGCAGCAGCAGCACAGCAGAGCACGCGCGGTTGGTTTTTCGCCGCGATCTACGGAGGAGGCTGTCGGAGATTGGTACCACCCTGCTGTGTGTGGTGTATGTGCGGTACATGGTGTATCGTGCGGGTATGTGCGGTACACGGGTTGTTCTGCGGGTTTTAGATCGTCGGGCGCCAGGAAAATATGACAATTTCTGGGTACAAAATTGACCACTTCCGGGTACACCAGTAACCAATATCGGTACTCCAGAGCGTCCTATTGCCAGCAACAGTTGTACCCGATGGGGTTTTCTCCAAAAATGGGTACGATGGTTTTTCGGCCAATCAGCTGACAGCCTGGGGGTGCAAACGTCTTGATTTCTAAGTGTACCCGAAAGTGGTGATGAAGTACCCGGGTATACCCGTTTCTGGTTATTGGTCCTCAAGCATCTAGTCACGTGTCCCCCAAGCGGAAAAAACACGTTGTCGCCGTTACACGGCCAGAGTATCAAAGCCCCGCAACAATCGTCACCGAGGACGAGCAACGGAAGAGGATCCCCCCACCCCCCTACATCCCCCTCCCCCCATCCGCGGAACCCCCCGCAGCCCTTTCCTCACCATAAGACACCCCGAGATGAAGGCCACCGCTCCGGTTATGGCGAACACACCCGCCAGGCTACCGACCGTGTCGAGGATGTTGTCGCCGTTGAGCTCGTCCATGACGTCGCCGAAGACGAGAATGAAGTTCGGAACCGTCAGGCTTCGCGCGCGAGCGTGCGCGCGAGAGGGGAATGGGCGTGTGCGTAAAAGTGGGAGGGGGGGGGGGAAGGGGGTTGTGAGAGAAGGGATAATCACTCGTTCTCACCGCGGCCCCGATTTTTTTTTCATGGGGGGAAGTAGAGTGCGCCATGAAAAGCATGCTCGGCGAGTGTTTTGTAAACACACAACACAGACGCGCCATGCACTGGCGTTCTCACTTCTCAGGCAAGAGAAATACGCACCACGAGAAACGGAAAAAGAAACGTACGTACCACGGCTGTATGCATTCAGTCGTCTGTTGCGAATCCCCCTAAACCTCATGCCATGAGACTATCTCCCTCCCCCTCCCCCCCCCCCCCCCCCCCCCCCCCCC